GGCTGGAAAACACACCGACGCTTCATCGGAGGCTGCACTGAGGATGTTACCAAGCATGGTAACGAAACGTCTGCGAACAAGAAACCAGCTCGGCGAGCCAAACAACCTCAACAATTTGGGGTCTTCTGATTTATATTTGGTGATAAATTATTTTGAAATGCAGAGCTTGTTTTTAAGTAGACAAAATTTACAATCCATAAAAATGTAATGCATCACCAATCTATTTAAACACCTGTTAATGTCGGATCTATGAAAATGTGTTATTTAAATTACATTTCGAATAGTATTTTCCTGAATATTGCATGTGACATATGTGTATACTTGTACGTGCTGAAAATCAAAATTTGTCAACATCTCCTATTTCCAGTAATCCAGTAGAGTTAATTTATGCCAATTTTTCCTGATTAAGCAGGAGAATGTTGCACAGTTAAGAACTTCTATTTCAAAGCTTTATTGAGTGTGGCTGTATGCTACAGAATTGAAAAATGACCATTGCAATGTCAATTTTTAAAAAGGTAAAAGGAGCTAATCTGGGTAATACTGGCGAGTCATCTTAGCTTCTATGATTGGGGAAACTTTGGACATATTAATAAAGCATGTCTAGCTGTTGAGAAGATAGTTGGAAATTGCTAGCACAAATTTTCCAAAAGGACAAACATGCCTGGCAAACTTCTTTAAAATTCTTTGAAAAGCTTAGAAATGGATAATGCACTGATGTAGTGTGCAAGGCCTTTAAGAAAGCCTTTAAGGAAATAACATACAAAGCTACGGCGAAAATGGAAAACTGAATTAATATTGGTCAGAAGAGAGAAACGGGTATACAGTTAATAGCTTTTGAGTGTAGTTTGGAAGGAGATTGTATGTGTTTCTACTTCTGTTCATTATGTAAGTTAATGAGCTAGTATCAATCTAGAATTAACAAACTCTGCCTGTTATTGCAAAATAGGGGATATAATTTATTCTTGAAAACTAGAACTTTAAATGAAGTTACAAACGAAATGAAATTAATGGAATCATAGAATGGTTACAGCATAGAGGCAAACGATTGAACCCGTTGTTTTTCTGCTGACTCTCTGTGAGAGCATCATGCTTAGTTTCACTAATCCACTTTTTCCCTTTTAACTATGCAAATTATTTCTCTTCATATAATTGTCCCATTCACTCTTGAAAGCCAGGATGAAATTTGCTTCCTCCAACTTCTTTGACAATGCGTTCCAGATCCCAGCCATTTTTCTATATACTAAAAAATCCTAATGTCCTCATTGCTTCGTTTGCCAATCAACTTAAATCACTGCCCTTTTGATTCTTGATCTTTGCACCAACCGGAACAGTTTCTCCCTATCCACTCTGCCACATTAAATGACATGGAGGTGCCAGTGTTGGACTGGGGTGGACAAAGTCAGATGTCATGCAACACCAGGTTATAGTCCAACAGGTTTATTTGAAATCATCAGGTGAAGTCCTGACAAAGGAGCAGCACTCCGAAAGCTTGTGATTTCAAATAAACCTGTTGGACTATAACCTGGTGTCATGTGACTTCTGACCTGTAAACATATATCTACTGCTCCATCTGCACTTGCACCAACTTTAAAATTGAACTCTTTAGTTTGTACTGACGTTCCCTTTCTTCTGACAAAATGAATAATTTAAACTTCTCTGCATTAAATTTTATCTGTTGCTTACCAGCCTGTCTAAAACCTCTTAACATTTCACTATTCTTCATACAGTTCACAGTACTTTCATGTTTTGTGACATAGTACATAGGTACTAAAATTTAGGTTATTAATAATTGTCAGGAAAAGTAGGGGCCCAATTCTGGGATTCCAAGGGGTCAATGTATACCTTCCTATGGTCTAAAAATCAATCACCACTACTATTTCCTGTCACACACTTAATCTTGTATCTATACTGCTTTTATTCCATGGGGTGTAACTTTGCTGACAGACTTGTTATGTGGCACTTTATCAAATGCTTTTTAGTTGTCCTTGTACATCATGTACATTACCCACATCAACTGGCTGTGTTACTTCCTCAAAAAGCTCAAGCAAATTTCCCTTAACGAATCCCTTAATTAACCCAGTTTTGTCCAAGTGAGTGCTAGTTGTGAATCGTTCTGAATAGTCATTTCTAAAAGTTTTCCCATCATAGAGATTAATTGGCTGGTTTATAATTTATTGGCTCATCCTTGCTCCTTTATTGAGCAAGAGTATAACATTTCCAATCTCCATTCCTCTGGCACCATACCTGTATCTAAGGAGGTTTGGAAAATTTTGGCCAGTGTGTCTGGAATTTCTTTACTTTCCTCTATATCCTTGGATGAATCTCATTCAATCCTTATTAACTTTGCATTCAGAATGGTGGCAGTCTTTATGCTATAGAAGAGCTGAGGAATTTTGAAGTGCACATCAAGAAGACATGGAAGATGGTATCTCAGTGACAAAGCAGAAAAGTTAATCAAGTTCTAGATTTTATCACAGGCAGTATAGAATGTCAGAAACGAGTGATAATAATCAACCTTCGTAAAATCTTACGCCATCAGTTAGAGTACAGTGCGTTGCGTAGAGCTACAACCTGCAGGAAGGATATTGTTGCTTCTGAGCGGATGCAATGAACAAACTTTAAGATGATGCCTGGCATGGAGAAAATAGAAGTTTGTTTCTGCATTAGAGCAATGTAGATGATACGGTAATATGATGAAAATATATAAAATTGTGAAAGGCTAGGATAGACTTGATAGAATCTGATGGTTTCCTATGACTGAAACATCAAGATTAAATGCAGGAAATGTAGACGAGAAAGCTCTTTCCGGAAAGAGTTACGAGGATTCAGTTACAGAATTGGTGGCTAAAATGGAAACAAAATCGACATTAAAGATTAAATTGGGTGGTTGATGAAAGTGTACAGTAATGAAATGGTTACATTTTATAAGAACTCATGAGATAGGTAAATGTCGATATGGATTGGGTGGGCCAATTTTTGTAATGTCTGTGTATTTCTAATGCCACAATGGGTCCTGTGTGTGTGAATTTTCATTGTAACGAAACATAGAATTATTACTTCAAATTTATTTCTGAAATTGTTATATCACAGTCTACAACCACTTTTTCCTGGTTCTAATGAAGTTGACCAAATTGCAAAGATCCATGAAGTTATTGGAACTCCAAACTCTGAAACACTAAGGAAGTTCAAACAGTAAGTACATCCTAAATTACAATCAACACTGATAACTTGTAGAATATTGATTTGGATCATTTAATATTAATGCATTTTAATGGCCCCACCTCATCTACTTCCTAAACCCAACAACACTGGCTAAGCCATGTTTATGAAGTCAACGACAGCCATATAGCTAAAGGCTGTTGGCCATTGGATCATGGCCTATTGGACATCCATACTGCTGCTATGAGGATAACTGCAAGGGAGATATGACAATGCCGAACATTACATAGACTGGGAGACAGTTGCCAACCACTGTGACCTCTGGAGGCTGATTCTCTGAAAGGGCATGAGGAGAGGGAAAGTAAAACTGGAAACTTGGCTGTGTTTAACCTCTAAGATCACAAGATGTTTGTAGAAATCTATAAAATCATGAGGGGTATAGATAGGGTTAATGATCATTGCCTTTTCCCGAGGGTGGGGATTTCAGAGTTGGGGCACATTTTTAAGGTGAGACGAGAGAGATTTAAAAAAGACATGAGGGGCAAATTTTTTACACAAAATGGTGGTTCGTGTGTGGAATGCCCTTCCTGAAGAAGTGGTGGATGTCTGCACAATTACAACATTTAAAAGATTTTTGGATAAGTACATTAGAAAAGGTTTGGAGGGATATGGGCCAGAACGAGGCAGCTGGGACTAGTTCAGTTTGGGATTATGTTCAGCATGGACTGGTTGGACCAAAGGGTCTGTTTCCATGCTGTATGACTCTATGACAATGACTCTGTGGAAGCAGAAGTAGACCATTCTGCTCCATTCCGTGAGATCATTTCGGCTAGTGCATAGTTTGTTGTATTTCCTTTTTCTTTCCTGGTGTATCTCAGCTCTCTTCCTTTCTATAAATAAAGGACATCTAATACAATTTTTATGCGAGTTTGAATCTTTATCTTCAAATCCAAAGTTAGTCTCTCACAATATACTATCCTTCATCTGCCTTGCTGTAAGAGCAAATACAGGTGCAGTTTGGCTTGGTAGTCAATGTCTTAATAATGCTAAAGCTAAGGTAGGTTTATCCCAGTTATCCTGACTAAACACCTTTGCAACTGGCACCAATTCCTTGGTGGACAATTGAAGCCTATTATAACTGTACCCTAGAGTGGGTACAGTTGCTTCTTATTCCTATGCTCTGCTAACTGCAACTGGACCGAAGATGCTTTTACAGTGTCTAGTGGAAGAAAGATCATTTGGTTAATATGTTAAGATAGTAGAAAAATTTTCAAAGTTTGAAACCCTGGTCATTTTCCACATTAGTAATCTTATCATTACTGTGATATTTAGAAGCTGCTGAATGATGATGTTTGAACAAAATAGGAAATTTTATAAAACCACACTCAAGTACTGAACTTCAAATGTGTCATTTCCTCTGTTCATGTTTGAAGATTTTTTCTACTTAATGTTTAAATGATTTTTTTCAAACAAAATTACTTAATTATATTAATTACTATTTTATCTGATTTTCGATGTAGAACTCGGGCGATGAGTTTTGACTTCCCACAGAAAAAGGGAACAGGAATATCTTGCCTCATTCCTCACACCACTTCTGAGAGTATTTCACTGATGAATGCAATGATGGAGTATGACCCTGAAGAAAGGATCACTGCTAAGCGGGCACTACAACATCCTTACTTTCGTGAATTGAGGTGAGGCAAATTTATTTCTTTCATTCAAGTATTAAATCTGTCTTTGACTTTAATAGTCATACAGCGTAGAAACAGGCCCTTCAGCTGACAATCAAACACCAAACTACACTAATCCCATTGCATTTGGTCCATAGCTTGCTATGTCTCGGCATTTTAAGTGCTCATCTAGATGCTGTTTAAATATTGCAACAGTACCTGCTTCCACCACCCTCACAGGCAGCGCGTTCCATATTTCCTTCACCCTCTGGGTAGGGGGGAAACAATTTTCTGAGATCCCCTCTAAATCACTTACTGCTCATGATAAAATTGTATTATCTGGTCATAGACATGCCTGCCATCAGGAAAAGATTCTCACGATCTATCATGTATATGTCTCTTATAATTTTGAAAATCTCTATTAGATCCCCCCTCAGCCTCCTCTGCTCCCAGCTTATCCAGTCCCTTGTCATAACCGGGACTTTTCATCCCAGGCAGCATCCTGGTGAATCTCCTCTGCACCCAGTCCAGTGAAATCATGTCCTTCTGATAGTAGGGTGACCCATAACTGCATACAGTATTCCGTTTGTTTCCTCACCAATATTTTATAACGTTGTAACAAGACTTCCTTGCTCCTATATTCTACACCCTGGGTCATTAAGGCAAGCATCTTGTATGCCTTCTTCACCAGTCTGCTGTGCTGACACCAGGGAACTATAGACTTGTACACCAAGGTCCCTTTATTTCAAGGGACAAGGGACCTACCATTTATTGTGTATATCCTTCCCTAGTCAGACCTCCCAAAATGTACTTAACAGGATTAAATTCCATTTGCCATTCCTGTGTCCAATTTACCAGGCTGTAGCCTGAGACCATCCTCCTCGCTATCAACACCAATTTTCAAACTTACTAATTAACCTGCTACATTCACCTCCAACTTGAAAACGTAGATAACAAAGCACAAGGGTCCCTTTGTATGCTGCTGGTCATCTCAAAAATAACCCTCCACCATTACACTTTGCCTCCCGTTTGCAAAGAAGCACTGGATCCGGTTTGCCAACTTGCCTTGGATCCCATGGGCTCTTACCTTTCGGTGCAGCCTTCCATGCAGAATGCTGCTCCTACAATATGTGGGAAATCAGGGATACTTCAAGTGTCCATGGTGACCACATATGCAGGAAGTGTGTTCAGCTGTAACTCCTGATTGACCGCATGGAGTAGCTGGAGCTGCAGATAGACTCGCCATGGAGCATCCATGATGTTGAGGACGTCATGGATAGCATGTTTAATGATGTGGTCACACCACAAGTAAGGACTACTCAGGCAGAAAATCATTGAGTAACCATCAGGAAGATTAGCAAGCATGGGCAGCTAGTACAGGGGTCCCCTATAGCCAATACCCCCACTCCCCTACTACCTCAAACAGACATACAGCGTTGGATACTGTTGTGGGGGGTGCCTCTCAGGGGAAAGCGGCAACATACTAGTTTGTGGCATCATGGTTGGCTCTGCTGCACAGCAGGGGAGGGAAAAAACTGGGAGAGCTTTAGTAGTAGGGGACTTGATTGTAAGGGGAGCTAATAGGCAGTTCTGTGGCAGCAAATACGACTTTTGAATGGTTTGTTATCTCCCCAATGCAATGTTTGGGGATGTTTCAGGGCATTCTGAAGGGTGTGTAAACAGCCAGAGTTGTGGTAAATGTCAGTACCAGTGACATGGGTAAAAAAAGAAATGAGGACCTGCAACAGGAATTTAGAGAGTTAGAAACTACTGAAGTTGTAATCTCCTGATTATTTACAATGCCAGAGCTACTGAGTGTATTAATTGGTAAATGGGTCTCAAGGGATAGTGTAGGAGGGAGGGCTTTAGATTTTTGTTTCATTGGTACAGCTTCTGGGGTAGGTGGGACCTCTACAAACTGAACAGGTTGCACCTGAACTAGGAGTACAATATCATTGCTGAGAGGTTTGCTTGTGCTGTTGGGGAGCATTTAAACTAATTTGTCAGGAGGATGGGACGCAGAGTAGATGTAAAGTCAGGAGTACAGTCCAATCAGACGTAGAAGGAATGCTAGGATGGTCTAGTAGGCGGAGAAAACATGGGCATGATAAGGCACGTGGGAGGTCCAGAAAGCTAAATTCTATCGAATTAATGTAATGAGCTTGACTGGTAAGATGAATGAACTTAGAGCATTGATCAGCATGTGGGAATATGATATTGTTGCAATCAGTGAGACTTGGTTGAACGAAGGGCAGGACTGGCAACTCAACATTCCAGAATGTAGAAGCTTCAGACGGATGGGTGAGGACATTGCATTGTTGATAAAGGACACTACCACTGCAGTAATGAGGGAGGATGTCCTAGAAGGCTCTTCAAATGAGGCCATTTGGGTAGAGCTTAGAAATCAAAAGGGATAATTACTTTGCTGAGGCTATTCTACAGGCCTCCTCTTGAGTGGAAGAATATTGAGTGGGGATAAGGGGTTCTTTTCAAGTTGGCAAACCTTAACTAGTGTGGCTCCACAGGGATCATTACTGAGACCACAACTGTTTACAGTAATATATTAATGACTTAGAGGAAGGAAGTGAATGTACTGTAGCCAAATTTGCAGACGACACAAAAAATAGGTGGAAAGGCAAGTTGTGAAGGGGATACAACCAGTTTGCAGAGAGATAGTCATAGGTTATATAAGTGGGTAAAATGTTGGCAAATGGAGTATTGTGTGGGGAAAATGTGAAATTGTTCATATTGGAAGGGATAACAAAAGAACAGTATTATTTAAATGAAGAAAAACTGCAAAATGCTGCAACACAAAGGGAATTGGGAGTACTTGTGCATGAAATGCAGGGAGATGGCACACAGATGCAGCAGGTAATCAGGAAGGTTAATGGAGTGTTGAACTTATTTCAAGGGAGTTGGCATTTAAGAGTAGGGAAGTCTTACTGCAACTTTACATGGTGCTGGAGTGCTGTGAGCAGTTTTGGTCCCCTTATTTAAGGAAAGGTATAATTTCATTGGAAGCAGCTTCAGCGAAAGTTCACTACGATGATCCCTGGTATGGAGAGATTGTCTTATGAGCGAAGGCTAAACAGGTTGGGACTGTGTTCATTGGAGTTTAGAAGAGTGAGAGGTGATCTCATTGAAGCAAAAATGATTCTAAGGACCTTGACAGGGTAAATGCTGAGATGATGGCATGGGACTCATGGGAGAGTCTAGGAACAGAGGGCATGGTCTCAGAATAAAGGGGGGCAAATGTAAGCCTGAGGGGAGATTTCTTCTGACAGTGGTTTGAGAGTCTTTGGAACTCCTTGTCACAGAGAGCTGTGGGACAGGATCCTTATGTATACCTAATGCTGATTATAGATAGATTCTTGATCTGGAGGGGAATCCAGGATTGCGTGGAAAGGACAAGAAAGTGGATGTGAGGAATGTCAGATCAGCCATGATCCTGTTGAATGCCAGAGCAGACTTGAAGGGCTGAATGGCCTACTCGTGTTCCTAATTCTTATGGTCTTATGGATATAAAAAAAGGTATAAAATGTGGCTGACAGTGCCCTGGCTTGAATCTGAAGAACCAGGTTTTCATGTGGCAAAATTGTCAGTTGTTTGAATGATTGTGTTTTAGGTTGCAACCGACCATCCATGCATTCTACCCAATCTATTGCCTTCCCATTCATCTTAATTACATGAAGGTCACTGCTATCGTTGCATAGTTCCATTCTTTTTCATTCCACCTTGTTAGCAAGCTGCTACTTGTGTATATTGAGGCCAGCAGCTCAAAGTCCATCGAGCCTCTGGCCTCGGCATTCTGGTGCAGGGACAGTTCTATGTGCCCTCCACTCCTACCTGGTATGTCTGGAAAAAACATTTTGAATTATTTGCTAAATCAACAAATGCTGAAAGTTGAGATTGGAAAACTGAATGGTAAGGGTGGAATTGGGATTTTACAGTGTTAAAATTGAAACAAACTTATAACCACAATTTGTCAGTGGGAGTAAGGTTTATAGATAAAATCTCCAGTCTGATTTAGATCTTTAATGAGTTGTATAGATTATTAAGGTTAGGAAGAAGGATGTTAATTAATTTTAAGTAACAAAAATATGCACATTTATATAATTTCTCTTTCCTGTAGATTGGCAGAGAAACAAGCTGCCACCTTCCAGCGTAGAGTTAGATGCTTAGAAGGGAATGAAAACAATCTAAGCCCTGCTGTGGTGCACAACCTTTGGAGAATTCATAAGGGACGTAAACAGGTAAAATGAGAAACCTTAATATTTGTCACCTTGCCTTTCCCAGTTCTACCAGGAAGTCAACAGTTCCACCATTAAAACAAATGTAAATTATTTTGCTAGTGAACTTTTCTGAAACAAATGTATAATTAGATAATAGTGTAGTTACTTGCACCATATTTCTATGACCTGAGATATTTTTAAATTGGAATGGGAACTGTAGACTTTTTTTCAGCAGAAATGATCATTTTACAACACAAACAGAAGTTGCTGGAAAAGCTCAGCAGGTCTGGCAGCATCTATAAAGAAAAAAAAAATCAGAGTTAATGTTTCGGGTCTGGTGACCTTGCCTCAAAACTCTGGTTTCGGTTTTTATTTGATAATTTTACATATTACTCTAGTCTCATGTTTTACATCACATTTAACGTTTAATTATTTAATATAGACAGAATTCTCCAAATTGCAGTAACAAATCTGTTTTTGCCCAGACCTAGCACCTTTTGAGAAAACAGTAAAGCAGTTAGTATGATCTACTACCAAAAAACAAGCAGGAGTTGATTTTCTGAATTGTAATTTGACAAATCAGTCGCAAGGGCTCTTGTTGCAGAATGATAGTGCCCTTACGTCTAGGTCATAGGGCTTGAGTTAAAGTCCCACCTGCTCCAAAGACGTGTCATGTCTTGTCTGAATAGATTGTTTAAAATATAGAGATAAAAATATTAAATCTTGCCTAATTGTGTGAAAGACAACTTTAGAGGAGATATTTTCTTATTAACCAGTTCAGAGGTTTAATTACAAACTCCTGGAACTGGTGGGACTTGAACCCAGGCCTTCTGGCTCAGAGGTAGAGAAAGACAGTGGATTTTTAAAAAAATAAACCTGTTCAGGCACACAGTGGGACTTGAACCTGTGCCACATGTAGGGATTAGTATTTTTTCCGAATCAACCTGGAGAAGGTGAGACTTGAACTCAGTTCTCCTGGCTTAGCGCTAAGTACACTACCGCTGTACTACAAGAGTTCTTATGCTTTTGAAGGATTGTATATCTGATCACCAATTTTCAGCTGTGATCTTTCAAATCAGTATGGACTTTGCTTGTCCACACTCCAAGATAATACAACAGGAAGATCAAGATGTGAGGGGAGCTCCAGCTGCAAGAAGACCAGCAGCAGGAGCATCCATCACCCATTGCAACTGTAGCATTCTGTTCATCAGCCAATGGAGGATGCCAGTACGCTTCCAAAGTTTCACAGGGCCACTTGGCTCTAAAGCTCATTGCAATCTTGATTCAAACATGCTCAAAAGTGTTGAATTTTAGAAGCAATGTGAGAGTAACTGATGGGATGTCAAGGTAGCTGTTGATCAAATGAGGAATCAAGGAATGCTAGTAAAACTGGAATTAATTGGAATTTTGGCGATGGTATTTCACCAATTGGGGTCATCTTGTACAAGGATTATTCAGATGGTATCCAATAGCTGTCATTTTCAGCTGCTTACAAATGACCATCCCTCTAACATAAGTTCAGAGATGAGGGCATTCGACAAATATTGTACTGTGTTCAGTACAATTGTGACATTTTAGATATTGCAATTGTCTGGGCTTGCATGTAGCAAGCTGACTGCAGTGAAACTGGCTGATAAGTGGCAAGTAACATACACATTGTGCAAGTGTCAGGCAATAACCATTTACAACAAGAAAAGAATTTCCCTTCACACTCCAGTACATTACCATCACTGAATCCCTTATCAGCATTCTGGGATTTACCATTGACCAGAACTTAAATGGATCAGCTCATAAATATAATGGCTATAAGAACGGGTCAGAGACTGGGTATTCTTCAGTGAGTAACTCGGAATCACAGAATTGTTACAGCACAGAAGGATGCCATTCAGCCTATTAAGTCTGCGCTGGCTGTCCAACAATCATTATGATTTGGTGTCAGTCTCCTGCCTTTTTCCTTAACCTTGCACATTTGTTTATATTCAAATAATCCTCTAATGCCCTCTGGAATGTCACACACGCAGGCACTGCGTTCCAGACCTGAACCACTCATTTTGTGAAAAAGTTATTTCTCATATCACATCTGTGTATGTAAATAACTTTAAATCTGTACCCAGATTTTTTCGATCCATTTGATAGCAGGAGCGGTTTATTACAAATTACTCTATCTAGATCTCTCTTTATTTTAGAAACTTCTATCATATTTCCTCTCAGCTGCCTTCTATCCAAGTAGAATGGTCCCACCTTCTCCAACCTGTCCTTATAATTTAAGTTACTCATCTCTGTCAATTTTGTTAATCTGTGCTGACCTCTGTCCACTGTGTTCGAATCCTTTCTACAGTGTGGCACCCAGAATTGCACACAACATACCAGGTATCTTGTACAAGTTCTGCATAAACCCTTCCTCTTATACCCTACACTCTTATTAAATTCATGATAGTGCTGTCTTCACTTGACCTGCCTCATTCAGTGGTCCATGCACATAAAAATCCAGGTCCATCTGCTTCTGCACTCCTTAAGCATTTACCCCTGTTTTATATTGTCTGTCCATGTTCATCCTCCCAAAATGCATCACCTCACACTTCTCCATATTGACTTTCTTCTGCTACCTATCTGCCCATTTAAGCTATCTTGTCTGTTTCTTTTCGTATTTCTACACTGTCCTCACAATTTACAATGCTTTCATTTATATAAAATAAGTTTAATAATGCTTAAGTATATAAGGAAAGTATTAAAGAACTTAAACAAGGAATTAGAAGGCCTAAAAAGGGTCATGAAAAGCTGTTCGCAAACAGGATTAAGGAGAATCCCAAGGCTTTTTATACAAAGAGCAAGAGGGTAGCGGGGAAAGGATTGGCCTACAAGGACAAAGGAGGAAATCTGTGTGGAGCCGGAAGAGGTAGGTGAGGTCCTAAACAAATACTTTGTTTCAGTATTTACCAACGAGAAGGAATTGGTGGAGAAGATCTCAGGGAAGGGAGTGTCCAAGTTTCTAAGCCAAGTTGCTTTTAAAAAAACAAGAGCAGTTGTGTGTTTTAAAAAGTATTAAAGTAGATAAGTTCTCAGGTCCTGATGGGATCTATGCCAGAATATTGAGGGAGGCAAGAGAACAAATTGATGGAGCATTGACAGACATCTTTATATCCTCTTTGACTACAGGTGAGGTCCCAGAAGACTGGAGAATAGCCAATATAGTCCCTTTGTTTAAGAAGGATAACTGTGATAATCCTGGAAATTACAGGCCTATGACTGTCACATCAGTGGTAGGGAAATTATTCGTAAAGATTCTCAAGGACAAGATCTATATGCATTCAGAAGCAAATGGACTTGCTAGCAATAGACAGCAAGGTTTTGTGCAGGGAGGTCATGTCTCACTAACTTGATCGAGTGTTTTGAGGAGGTGACAAACATGATTGATGAGGGACAAGCAGTTGATGTTGTCTACATGGAAGGTCAAGTACAGGTGGAAATTATACAGTGAATGGCAGAACCCTTAGGAGTATTGATATGCAGAGGGATCTGAGTATGCAGGTCCACCAATCACTGAAGGTGGCTATGCAGGTAGGTAAAGTAGTAAAAATGGCATACTTGCCTTCATTGGAAGGAGTGTTGAGTATAAGGATAGACAAGTTATGCTGCAGCTTAATAGGACTTTAGTTAGGCTACACGTGGAGTGTTGTGTACAGTTTTGGTCACCACACTACCAGAAGGATGTGGATGCTTTGGAGAGGGTACGGAAAATGTTTACCAGGATGTTGCCTGGTATGGGGGATTTTAACTATGAAGAAAGTTTTGGATAGACTGGGTTTGTTTTCACTGGAACATCAATTACTAGGTGACTCGGTTTCAAGGTGTGAGGGGGGAATTTTAAAAGAGATATGCGAGGCAAGTTTTTCACACAAAGGGTGGCGAGTCCCTGGAATGCATTGCCAGAGGAGATGATGGAAGCAGACACATTAGCAGCACTCAAGAAACACCAGGACAACATGAATAGGAAGGGAATAGATCCTCTAAGTGAAGACAGTTTAAATATGGAAGGGCAAAATGTGTCGGCGCAAGCTTGGAGGGCTGAAGGGCCTGTTCCTGTGCTGAATTGTTCTTCTCAAACTAGCAGCTTCCTTTTTAGCAATCAAATGATCTGTTATCCATTACATTAATGATCTTAACTGTAGACTGGGTAAAATGCAGAATATAGTGGATAGGATCAATTGCTGGTAATTAGTTTGATTTTTCCCAACATCTACATAAATAAATGAGGCTTTAGTGGGTTAAATAAGATATATAATCCTTCCCACCTGAATTTCCTTCTACATTCCACCAAGACGTGCAGATCACTTGAGTAAAGCCTGAAATATGCCCAATTTTGTGGTATTTAAGTTTGTGCAAAGGCAATGGTTAGACCACAGCTGGAATATTGTGAATATTCAGCACGTCAGGTTGTTATCTGTAAAGGGAGAGAGACAGTTAACATTTCAGGTCAATGACATGTTGTCAAAAAAAAACCCTGATGGACACAGGGCTACTGACACCGACAGCAACCCTGCTGTTCTGCCCAGCTGTGTCCTATTCACAAAATGCCGAACAAGGAGGAGGAAAGGACGTTGTTTTCTCCTCAGCCAATTCCCATTAGTAATTTGACTGGCTGAGGAGAAAGCAATGGGAAACTATGTTCTGCAGGCTCCGAGGTAATTCAAAAACAGCAGAAAGCTTGAACATGAGATAGTAGGAACTGCAGATGCTGGAGAATCCGAGACAACAAGGTGCAGGGCTGGATGAACACAGCAGTCTGCTCCTATGATGCTGCTTGGCCTGCTGTGTTCATCCAGCCCTGCACCTTGTTGTCTCGAAAGCTTGAACATGTTCCTTTTGTTTGCAGAGAATGGGCCCTTGTGTATGCAAGTTGCTTCCAGCAAGCGTAAATGAGTCATGCTCGGAGACCTGAAACAAACAAAAATAGAAATTGTTGGAGAAATTCAGCAGGTCTGGCACCATCTCTGACAATCAGAGTTAACGTTTCAAGTCCA